TGAGGAGGATATAAAATAATACTATTGCCTTATGTATGAACGCGACATTTCTGTCATCTTCTTATTGAATAAATTAAATCTAGTTATGAAGCTTTATCAATCATGTGGTTACTATAAAAATTTGATTTGTAATTCTTTCGTATTGTGTCGAGAGACATTTATTACATACGATACGCTAAAAGAAAAACATCTAATTGCAAAATCTCGATAGAAAAATATAACGAAAGAAAAATTTTTGATTAGGAAGATAGCGCAAGTTTATTCTTCCTGAAAAAAACTTCCCAGAAATTATAAAAGAAATTCCCGAGAGATTCATCAGGAAGTTTCTAGAGGCTCACTCCACTTTTGAAATCAGTATAAAATTAGTGGAGTTACACTCCACTATTACGAATCAGAACATATCTGGTACACAAAAATAACAGTTTCATGAAACTTAAATGATGTTGAAACGATGATTGGATGGTGAAAGAACGCAGAAAGCAAAATGATCTTTTTCATTTATAAAAGACAATAAGCTTACAAAAGAGAATCAAGTCTTTTTTTTTATTATGCAATAACTGCGATCCTAAGATCCTAACGGTACCAGAAATGAGAAGATAGGGGAAAAAGTGAAATAAAAGGTACACAGAAGATGCAAAAAGAAGGAAAGATTCTATACGTAAAAATGCAGAGGAAAGAAAAAAGGATAATGAGAAAATCGCATCCAAGATGAATACACAGTGCATCGTAGAAAATAAACAAAAGAAAAAATAAAGAAACGAACAGACGTGTATAACAGATCGCACATGAACAACATATAAACAAAAGTTAAGACGGACAGAAAAAGACATCGATCACAGCTTTAAAAAAAAGAATCCGGAAAGAGTTGAAGTAGCTCTATTTCGGACATTTCATAATGTGGTAAGGAAGAGTTCGAAGGGACCGATGAAAGCCAAGTTAAAACTTTTTCTAAAATTGATTTATAAGGAACGAATCTTTTAGACCTTTTCAACTCCATGATGAAGAACTAGACTTAAGTCTTTTGAATCTTCTCTATCTTATATACTTTTCTATAGATGTAAAACAAAATGATCAATGCGTTGTTACATTCTGATAAATTCTCTAATGATAGACTAAGGATCTTGGAAGCTTTGAGGGACCCATCGAAGAGCGTATAAGCGAGAATACATACGAAATCTTCTAAATATACGATAGATATCTGGCCGTGAGTATGGTCGTGGGTGTGTGTGTGTGTGTTCGGGTGTGGTTCTTCACCTTATCTTTACTGCTTCTCTAGACTCAGGCCTACACCCGCACTCAAACTCCAGCCACACCCACATTCACGCCGGAACCAGCAGCCACAACTCACATCCATACCATCACCTTCATCCACGTTCACACCCACACCCATACCCTACAATTCAAGAGCAAGAGAAATGTTGTGCAATTTTATAAAGCTAGCGGAATCGAAGGAATCCAAATGAACGAGGAGTCTCACTCACACGATCATCTTCACTTGCTATGTTACATGAAGTTCAAGAAATTTAATAGGAAGAGGAAATTCTATTAAATTTCCATTTTCTGCATGGTAGATATTGCTGATTTCAAATTTTGTCTATCGTATTTAATATTACCTTGATCATAGAAGTCTAATCAATGTGCGAAAATCTAATGTCGTTTTTTCAAGGTATTATTAACGAAATGTTTTTTTGTTGCTTTCAAATATCAGTAATAAAATGACCTTGGATGAAACATCGAATAAAAAATTTTCTTTTTAATAGTGATTTATTCTCAAAACTGATGAAAAACATTCATTAGATATCATGTCCCAGATAAAGCATAAGGGACAAAAAGAAAAAGAATCACAGAAGATTTATGGTCATCATCACGTATTTGTCTGTGGGGCTAAATGTCGATGATCATCATCATGATTTAATGTTTCAAATTGCCGTGGTCGTGGGAAAACAGGTGGTAATGATGAATGATTCTTATTAGATTTCTGTAAGGCTGTTGCCTAATCAAAATAGATATGATCATGATTATAAATTGTACGAAAATGTTTATATAATTTATCAATTATTTCACCAACAATAATATCTGCTCCATTGCGTGCAAGAAGACGAAGTACAAAACAACCATCTTCTTGTAAATAATCGCGAACAAAAGATTCACTAAGAAGTTTTTCATTTAATTTGATTTGTTTCGGACTAGTAAATTCATCAATAAGTTCATTTATTGCTGCACGTTTCATGGATAACTTTCTTCTTACATATGCTGAACGACTATCAACGCGTATAATACGTAATAACCATGATATAAAATCACCTATATTGAAAGCTACTAAGAGTAAAATTCAAAACGAAAGAATAAAAAAACTTTTTTCATTAAATAAATTCATTGGTAAAACGCATTGAACTGTATATCGATGTACAATACCTACTTCACGTATATGAAAATCACATAATGTAACACGTAGAAATCGTTTTGATTCACCCCAATCAAGACCACGAATAAATTTTACAATAACTTTAAAACCAAATAAAAGATAATCATTACCCAAAAAAGCATTTAACAGAAATATTTGTACTAATGAATTAAAAAGATATAAGAATTTAATAAATGTAAATAATAAAACTATAAATGAACTTAAATGATGATGACGCCAAAATGTTAGGGAATAACAAAATTGTTGAAAACAATTTTTTCCACGATAATCAAGTTGTGTTGGAGAAGTATACCGATTTTCAATATAGACACGTATTGAATTTGTAATATGATTAATTGTTTTCTCTCGTTCTGCACGTTGATTAACTTGTTGTTCTTGTTTTAAAGCTGCATCAACTAATTTTTCAATATCTAAACCATGCAGATTTATTATTCAATGATCTCCAAAGCATACGTGGAAAATAAAAACATAATGCCATAAATAGAAGAATAAATGGTGACCATTGATAATATTTCAATGTTTCTAGCAATTAAGCACAAAAACATAATATAATTCAAAATAAAAAGGCAAGCAGAGAAACTTACGTTCATATCGTATTGTTTCAGCTGGTGGAATATCATGCTCCATAGGAATATAATATGTATTCATTATCCAACATATATTGTTAGCATATTTTTCATATTCTTCTTTAAATTGTACAGGTACCTAAAATAAATCAAAATCAAACAAAAATATACATCATTTTAAGCAAGTAAAATATTTTACCCAGCATTTTATAGGTGACATAATATATTGTTCAGTTGTAACAATAACAGCAAAAACTAAAATCATTGTTACTGTATATTTATGATTGAGTCGATCAATAAATACATCATCATTTCGAACGGAATGATGTTTTTCATCATTTAATTTTTTTGCAACATTCAATATATCCATAAATGTATATTTCGTTCAATAAATTATTTTAATCAAAAATAACAATAAATTTATGATTTTTACAACGATTAATATTTCAGTATATTATGTTTTCCATCGTATAAAATCAAAAACTTACTATAACTGATTTATTTTGTTTCTTATCATAAAGAATAAGTTAATGTCATTCGTTATTCTTTATACTTACGATTGCTTTATTTTGATTGAAACAAAGACAACGAAAAGTGATCACATCATACACAGATTTTTGCATTAATGATTGCGTCACATTCAATTACATGTGTCTCTTACTATTATTTACAATGTACATGTTTACTTAAGAATTTAGCACGTCAAACAGCAACATAAAGAGAAGACTATATATTATAAACTTGTCCTTCACATTTCAATACTAATCTATTTAATTTGTGTACTATACATCATCATCAAATTTGAACAAACTATTTTTTCCTGTTTTTTTTTCCTAGCCACTCACATTATGTCTATTAGAAAATAATATATACTTATTGATAAAGATTCTTTTTTGCAGAGCTTATAGCATTACAGACTATAAGAATGATCTTTTATGACATGTGTATAGAATAGGATGAATGCATAAGAATATAAACATTAAAATGTCCTCATACTTCACAGGAGACACAAAATATTACTGCAAGCCATTATGGTATCCGTTGGATACATATGCAATGCATTTACACAAAACAAATAGACAAGTTCGAAAAAAGACGAAAATTCAATTCACTTTTCTTTTTTGTTATCACCCTTTACAATGAAAAAAAAGAATAATTTTCCCATGTTATCAAAACCACGGAAAAATTGGTGATTTTATTGCAATTTATTAGGCCGATTAATCGTGAGATTATATCGTGATTAAATCGTCTAATGTGACGATTTTTGTCGATTCTTTTCGCGATTATTCAAATACACGGTGCTCGATAAATAACACTAAGATAAAAATAGTCTAATACCCCACCCTTTCATCCATTTAATTAAACAAACTAATCTTTTTATCACTGTTCGAAGTTCATTCAAACTTTTTTGGGGTGGGTGTGGGTGTGCGCTTGGATGAAGAGAAGTTTTACAGCAACACACCCACACCCTCACACTCACGTCTATCTAGCACCTGTTAGCGAGTAGCTTAAGTAAATCGCTGCCACCTATTTTCTAACAAAAGTGGTATTATTCCAAACCTTATGAAAAGTTTTAAAGACTTTCAAAGCTGCTTTACTACGTAAGGACTTTAGCGGCCTATCCATCCATAGAGTTTTGTTTTAGCTTTCGACTTTTCGATAACATATACAGTCTTCTCGCAACTTTGCATCTGTTTTTGCCTCTACCTATAAATGCGTTTTTAGTTCCAAACTATATGATAAATGTAGTGAACTCGAAATAACTTGTTTCTCGCGATTGTAATCACAACATATACAGTAAAAATGTAACTGCGGTCATGTGAGCGACTGGTATCAAAAAACTGGCTGCACCATTCTGACAGCTCAAATGAATATTCTCGATATGATCGAAAAAGCACGACTAAGTTAGAATAGCATCTGAGCATCGAGCCCTTGGTGTCAGTCCTTGTTTCTTGATTAATATTTTTATTTAGACTATTAAAATGAATTGAGTGCCGATTTTCTCCTGCAAAATGATAAAGTTGAAGGACCGCCGGATTCGGTACTCCTTGTTAGCTATTGAGTTCAATAAGAATCTGTTATTGAGCACTGAGGTTACTTAATTGGTACAATGATGCTGTCGTAGACAAGAATATTTTGGTATACCACTAACAATAGTTAGCTTTGAAAGAGTTAAGGGTGAGTGCTGACTCTTGATAATTATGGATATCTTTTGGTACGGTCTAAATGTATTACATACTATCAATAGATAAATTTCGTGGTTCAAATAAATCCCAAAAGAGACTGTCGGTAGCCTCTTGTATATCACTATCATAACGTCTGTTTAGAATAGAGTACTGCGAGACAGTAACAAATCCCGAAAAATCCCGTCTGTCCTGTCCCGTGGGACGATCGGGATTGTCCCGAAAATTTTTCGGGACGGAACAAACGGGATCGGGGCAATATAGAGAAAACCTATGTCCCGAATTTTTTATCCATATATGAAATAGAGTACTGCCGGACAGTTCCCAAACCCCGAAAAATCCCGATTGTCCTGTTCCGCGGGGAAAGCGGGCCTGTCCCGAAAAATTATCGGAACAGGACAAACAGGATCGGGGCAATTCAAAAATTTTCGTGGCGGAGCAAGCAGGATTCGGAACACGAGAAAGTTTGTCCTGCAGATCTCTAGTTTAGAAGCATCCAAGATAACAACTTTGTTATGATCCCGCGAACAGAACACATTATATATACAGGCTGACCAGAAAGGTATGCAACAAATGAAAACATTTGTATCACCACAATTACGATAAGCAGCGCTCTCTATCATGCATCGTTGTAAATCTGAATAATTGTCATTGTTTTGGTACTAATTAAACTTATATGATTGTGTTGATTGTAATTCTGCCATGATTACAATCAACACAATCATATAAGTTTAATTAGTACCAAAACAATGACAATTATTCAGATTTACAANGTGCAAGCGCAATTTAAATGATCTTAACTTGGTTAGACATCTTTTTCGTAGTGATAGATCATAATGCGTTGTCAATGATTTCTGATCGTTTAAATTTAAGAACAGTTTTTAAATACTTTGTTTTGTTGTTTCCGACAAAAAAAATTGCAGCGAATAACTTCGATAAAAGGTCATTTTACTAAAAGAAATTTTGAAAGATTCTTGATTCAATTGAGTTTAAATATCATAAATAATCGCAATAATGATGAAACACTAGCTCTAAATGAATACTGTAATAGGTAAAAAAAATCATAGTATTTCGATGCATACTACTTATAAAATCTATATGCTTAAAAACAACAAGTAGATGGATAGCAAGCCAGTCTGATCATACCCATATATATTTATATGTTTTATGCGTACATTTATATGCGAACAAAAATTTATTCTCTTTATTTATTATTTTATTATCCATAGAATTGAGATGAGTCTTATTAGAATTTCAGACAGTTTCTACAAGCAAGCTTCACAAATAAAACATTGTTATATTTACTTGACCACTTACTTGCGGCAAATAACTTTCACATATTTTCCTAATTAACGTGATCTATTTTTATTTTTAGATAGTAAGAAATTTGAAGAAAAGACTTTTTTGTTTTTCATCTTTTGATAATTTATAGTCGATCGATGTATAGAAAAAATGTCATTTTTATCAAATGAACTGTTCAACGATAACTTTTATTCGTTTTATTTCTGTTGTATTTAACTTCTTGCATCGTATTAACATGATTTAAAACAAATGAGAATCTTATTTAAATTCAAAATCTTTATGTACAGTAACTCAGATTACAATTGATAGGTTCACTTAGCAACAACAACAACAGTGCATTTAACTAATAGTGAACAAGAAATGATAGATAAAATCTTAGACAAATTCAAATAACAAAAATTCTTTGAAATAGTGATTTTTGTTCTGTTTGTATAGATAGTCTTTTTTTCATTGTTTTTTTTTATGACTAGGAGAGAAACTAGCAGCTTTTCTAAAAGAGATTCATATGCTTCACTATTTTTCTGATAATTGTTCTATCAGTCAAATAATAAGTTGTTAGATAAGTATTTCGTCTAGTGTAGATCTAGATATAAAGTTTATATGATGGAAATCTTAGAATTCTTTTCCAATTAGACCATAAAATAAAAGATATAAAATGTTAAACGAGCGAAACAATGCTGAATATACATTCTTAATACTTACTTCCAAGCTGATTCAGAATTCTTCTGTTGATTAGAAGAAGTTACTTGATGTACAAATGAATCACTGAAAAGAGAAGTGCATACTTTTTCAGAAACAATTTATTTATAAAACTTAAATCAATCATTCAGAATCTATCAAAATTATCAAGATTCAGGTAAAAAACTTATTATGTTTTACTTGTTTATTGTATCTTTATCGGATAGCAAAGAGACTATTGAGATTCTTCTTTGTTGTTGTGCATTATTTTGTTTTAGAAAAAAAATAGTATCTCGATTGTTCTTAGGAACATTCCATATTTCTCGAACAACATAGATAGACATATTTCTATCCTGGTGATGTTTCATATCTTGAGTTGATAACTACTATTATGCCATGAATATTTTCTTATATGAGTTTTTCTTGTACCGTCATCTGAAAAGAAAAAATGAATGGCTTTCATCTCGATAGCATGACTTTCAAGCCTTCAGCCGTCAATAATGAGTTCTTTATTTGAATTATATTATGAAGTCATTATGAGAGTTGGCAAAAATAGTCAACTGATGATTACAATCGAAGTGATTATTATTTGAAGTCACTATGTTCTTGAAAGAAAAAAAATCAGGTCTGCTGGAAAAAACAATTTCATTGACATAAATACAGTCTACATTACGTATTTTTCAATCAACGAATAGGATGTAGTCAGGATGTGGGAATTCGGGTACATCTTCATCCACAACCACACTGAGGGTGTGTGTGAGGCTGTGAGAATGATATTCTATTCAGACACATCTAAAGCAACACATACCCACACTCATACCCATTCCTGGTCTTGAATTCAAAGGAATTCGTATAGGATTTTTCGTATTGATCATGGTGTAAATATTGATTCTAATTACTCAGTTGTATGGTATTTTTTCTTTTACAAAAGTAAATCAAAACATTGTGGAATTGATTAAACATTGTAACAGGAAAATATTTGCTTGTTCATGAAAAAATATACCCGTTTAAAAAAAACTATTGAAAGAAAAGAGTGTCAAAATATGTATTTCTATATTTGAAATTACTAGCAATAAAAATGATAGCATGAATAGGCTATGAGCGTATGGATCTTGAAATGACACAATAGAAAACCCACGTTCACTTACAAAGAAAAAGTCTAGTCTTTGGTTTCATCTGATGCAAGACGTTCGAATTCAGTTTTAGT